GGCCGCCAAGTCTTTCCCTCCCTGTATCCATGCCCTTAAAGGGTGCAAAGTCCCATCAAGAAATGGGGCTCTCTCTCCATCCTTTGAATCTGGGCCTGACCACGTGGCTTGCTTTGCCCAATGCTACGTTAGCACATGTGACACAGCAGAGGCTTGAGAAGTGCTTGTGCAGTGGGATCTACACTCTTGCCTTTCTCACCAACTTGAGATCACTGTGTGAACCAAAATAAATATTTGCTAATTTAAGCCACACAGGTTTGAGGTGGTTGGTTACACTGCAAAAAATCACTGGCATAACTGTTTTCTAACATTCTGTTTGTTTGCAAAACAATAATTTTCCATGTTCAGTAGCAGATCACAGTGAAATGATCTCTGTTTTGATTCAGTCTTGCCCAGTTATTCTTCACTTGAAAACAAAATTTCAATATTGAATATCTTGGGAAGAGCATTGAATGCTAGTCCTTTGTGTTCAGTATGTAGATTCACAAAATTAGGCCTCGTAATGTAAGCCTCAGATATTTGTAGGTTTTTTTCCCTCCACTAAGAAATAAAAACTTCACACTTGGCTAAAGCTCCTCATTGCTTTGAAATAAGACTATATCTCAAGCACTGTGGCATCTGTCATTAGTGGTACTTTGCAGGCATACGCTCTTCTTTGGCAAAGGTAAAATATAATTGTATGTATTTCCCATCACAAGAAATCCCATGGAGAATTACAATAGTTTGTCTCGTAAAAATGTAAATGTTCACTACTTACTGTTTTCTTGGAGAGTGTAAGTAAGTATTTTGTCATTTTTGAAAGAAGCCAACTAATATTCACTGGCCAACTTACTGAAAGATAACCTTTTTTTTAACTGCTTTAATGAACTATCATTTACAAAACATAAAATTCACCCACTCGCAGTGTACAATTTAGTGGTTTTTAGTATATTCACAAAGTTGTGCAGCCGTTTCTACAGTCTAATCTCAGAACATTTTCATCACCCCAAAGAGAAATCCCACACCCCTGAGTGTCCACTCCCCACCTTCTCTGCCCCTCCAGTCCCACACAACCACTAATCTGCTCTCTATCTCTGTGGATTTGCTTATTCTGGACATTTCATATACATGGAGTCATATAATATGTGGCCTTTGTGAGTGGCTTCTTTCATTTAGTATAATTTTTTTAAGGTTCATCCATGTTGTCACATGTATTCATGTTGCATTCTTTTTATTGCTGAATAACAGTCTATTGTATGGACATATCACATTTTTTAATCCATTCATCAGTTGATGGACATTGGGATTATTTCCACCTTCTGGCTATTATAAATAATGCTGTCACGAAAAATGTACATGAAAATTTTTTGTTTGTGGACGTGTATTTTCATTTCTCTTCGGTACATAACTCGGAACAGAATTACTGAGCCATATGGTAATTCTATGTTTAACCAGTTGAGGAATTGCCAGGATATTTTCCAAAGCAGCTGAAGCATTTTATATTCCCACAAGCAATGTAGGAGGGTTCTGATTTCTCCAAATTCTCACGAACGCTTTTTCTAATCTGTCTTCTGATTATAGTTATCCTAGTGGGTGTGAAGTAGTATCTCATTGTGGTTTTGACTTAATTTTCTCTTATGGTTGAACATCTCTTTATGTATTTGTATATCTTCTGGGGGGGAAATGTCTATTCAGATTATTTACCCATTTTTAAATTGAGTTATTTGTCTTTTTATTGTTAAGTTATAATAGTCCTTCTTAAAATATTCTGGATATAAGTCTCTTATCAGATACGTGATTTGCAAAAATGTTCTGTTTTTCGGGTTGTCTTTTCACTTTCTTGATGATGACCTTTGAAGCACAGAAGTTTTTAATTTGGTGAAGTCCAACTTATTCATTTTTTCTTTCGTTGTTTGTGCTTTTGGTGTTATATCTATGAGACCATCGCCTAACCCATGGTCACAAAGATTCGTTCCTATATTTACTCCTAAGAGTTTTATCGTTTTAGCTCTTATATTTACATCTATGATCCATTTTGAGCTATTTTTTGTGTATGGTGTGAGATAGGAGTCCACCTTCATTCCCCTGGGTGTGGATTTCCAGTTGTCCCAGCACTATTTGTTGAGTAGACTATCTTTCCCTCGTTAATAGTCTTGGCGCCCTTGTTGAATGAAAAACAGCTGTTGTTTACACCAGCACTAATAGGATCTGAGATTTGGGGATTTTGTGTAACTATTTATTAGGTTTCTGTCTACATTATAGAAAACTATCTTTCCTCTTTTGAAAGACCAGTGCACACACAGAGACACATAAACACACAGAGAGTCATAGAGGCCTATTCACAGACTCACGCCCACACACACTCACTCATCTATTCAGTCTCTCCTTTACCAAAGGCCCATTTACACCCTTCAACACCTAGAGTGATAATACTAGGATGAAAATGTTGGTAGGTTGAGGCCTTGATTCACATATGACTACAACACTAAGGCAGTTATAGCAGTTGGCCCACTATATGCCAAGAGCTAAATAATTCATGACAAACTGTTTTTACTGCTTCACCTCTTTGTAGTTAAGTATTTCTTTTTTTTTTAACATTTTTTTTAAGATTTAATTTTATTTTTATATTTTTGGCTGTGTTGGGTCTTTGTTGCTGCATGTGGGCTGTCTCTAGCTGTGGCGAGCGGGGGCTACTCTTCATTGCAGTGCACGGACTTCTCACTGCGGTGGCTCCTCTTGTTGCGGAGCACAGGCTCTCCGCACAAGGGCTTCAGTAGTTGCGGGACACACGCTCAGTAGTTGTGATTCGTGGGCTCTAGAGAGCAGGCTCAGTAGTTGTGGCACACGGGCTTAGTTGTTCCGCAGCGTGTGAGATCTTCCCAGACCAGGGATCGAACCTGTGTCCCCTGTGTTGGCAGGCGGATTCTTATCCACTGCACCACCAGGGAAGTCCCATGTAGTTAAGTATTTCAACATTGGCTTTCCCAAATGTTGCAATATCCTAGCCATGAAGCAGAAAGGTTTATGGAACAATGCATCAGTTTTATGCTGGATAGTCACTTAGGGAATTATAGAAGGAAAGCGAAAATGTGTCCAGTATTTAAATCTCTGGTTATAGAAGGACATGGGTAGCAAGTGGTTTCTCAAAGCGAGGAGCATGGTATAGCAGGGTTAATTAATTATTGACCTTTTTTGGAACTCATCTTGTTTTACTGTCCCAAAGGACATAAAACATTTTTAACTTCCCAGCTCTAGGCGGGGCACTTAATAATTCACCTTTTCAATGAAGCCGTGGGGAGGCACTATCTCGGTGCTGGGGATATACATCATGGTTCTAATACACACGTGATCCCTGTCTGCATGGAATTTACAGTCTCATATTAATACATCACTTACAAGTATAAATGTAATATCGAAACTATGGTAAATACCATGGAGGGGGTAGTACCATGGAAGCTAAACATTGGTCAGGGTGCCTGGGTTTGAATGCCAGCTTTGTGTAATTCTTGAATAGACACACAACTTCTCAGTTTTCTTTTCTATAAAATGGGAACAATCACAGTACAAACATTTTAGAGTTTTTATGTCGATTAAATATGATGATGCAATCCATGCTTAAAGCTGGGTCATAGTAAATATTTACTAAACAATGAAGTAATGGGAATTCCCTGGCAGTCCTGTGGTTAGGACTCCATGCTTCCACCGCGAGGAGCCTGGATTTGATTTCTGGTTGGGGAACTAAGATCCCACAAGTCTCACAGCACGGCCAAAAAAAAAATAATAATAAAATAAATAAATCAGTGAAGTATGTGTAGATGATGCTGTATATTCTCTATTTGTATATACTTAAAATGGAATGTTTATTTCTATAGGAAGTTTAGATGAATTGGATTCTTGTTTTTTTCAATTTTAATTGTAAAAGTAATATGTTTTGTGATAAAATATTGCATAATTGTTCAATGTTAGTTAAAATGCAAAGGCCCTTTTTACCTCCCTACAGTACCAGTTCTCCAGAGGCAGCCCAGTTGAGTTTCTTGTTATCCCTTCAAATATGTTCTCTGAATATAACAATATTCATGTCTGTGTTTTTATACCTAGATTAGTGAGGTTCGTTTTAACACACTGGGGTCATAGTACACGTATTACTACATTAATTGAGGTGTTAAAAAGTAATACTATGACCTGAGAATTTTTTTCCATGTCTGTCTATATAGACCCAAGTCTGCCTTTTTTTTTTTGTAATGACATATTTTTCGTTTGTGGATGTACCTTTCTACCCGGGACTTTACTGTGGGCATCTCCATAAATAAATGATGACCTTGGGAAAATCCCAGTTCAGATTTTACAGACATCATTTTCCCGTATTTCAATTGCCAATTTTTCTGCCTGTAACTTCTTTCCAAATGCAGATGGGCTTCCTCTTGCTTCTATGTACTTCTGACACCACCTGGAACTATGCCACTCCCCCACCCAACACAAAATCTTGGAAAGATCTTGAATTCTAAATTCAATGTCAAGTCCAAAACTACATAACAACTTGTTAATGAAGGCAATACAAAAACACACATCAAAAATAATGACTATTTGTACATAGATACAATTTCATTGTAAATCTTTCCTATTCAGTACTGCTCTTCTTCGAAAGATTTCTTAAAATTACTATCAGTTTCACTATCAATCAGGGAAAGATCATTATATCTACTTCTAGAACATTTTGAATATCGTTGTTGTTCAACTGCTGCTGAATTATTTTGATAGGTTAAGAGGTTGAATTGTAGATCAGCAGCTTAGTAGAGAGAGTGTATAAACCCTGTAGGCTGGGTGTAGCACTAAGATTTCTGATTTGATGATTGTCTGTTTTTGTCATCCATTTAGAAACTAATTTATTAATGTCTCTTTCTCATGTGTTTTAAAGAATATTATAGGTTTTGATTTTGAAGTGCAAAGGGCTGTTTCTTTCTATGAGAATTCTAAATTTCCTTCACATTGATTTTTCTCTGATCTGTGTCCTTCCTCCACAGAGGACAGCGCTGTGATTTGACTAAGTGGACGTCACCTTCAGTCAGTCCCCAGCCATCTGGTAAGTACACTGCACACAATGGGTAGGTTGCTAGATGTGGAGTTCTAGAACTTTCGGTCTGTAAAATGAATCCCTTCATTCACACTGACGTCCCATCTGAAATGCCTCTCAAAACTGATTCACAGATGTTTTCCTTGATGTGGTGGAGTGTTCAACTCCTGGCATTTTCTAGATTCAAGTTTATTCATTCCACCAACCTTGGGTACTTCATTTTCTGCTGGACTTTCTGTTTGCCGTCTGTGGGAGTATTGCCTGCATTTAGTAAGCATCAGATATTAAGTTGCTGTTTTCTGTAATTCTTTCTGAGGAGAAATGTATGTGACTTGTTTTTAATCTTATGCACATTTTGTTTAAGAAGATCCTCACAGATGGGAAAAATCATTGTCAGTTGTACTACACCCTCCACTTTATGGCAGCTACCTATAAGGATGATGTAATTAAATCCTTCCAATGTTCCTCTAAAGTTCCATTTTACAAATCTTTAAAGAAAAACTAAAATGGAAATCTAAAATATATATGCACAGTTCTTTTTATTTATAAGCAATAACTTGCCTATGCTTTATTCAAGAGCCAGAATCCTAGCAAATGTTCTTTTCTGACCCCTTTGTCAAATTACTATTTTCTACTTGGTGTTATAAGTAAAACATTTGGAGTATGTGTCATTTCTTACTTCAAAGGACAAGAAGTCATTTTATAGTGATCACAAGGAGAAGATAACCAGCAACTTTGCTGTTCATCTCGATAAGTGAACTCCAGGTTCCAGGCATTTAAAATCAATATTATTTTCTTCTCCGTGTTTCATGTCATGTCAGATATTCCATCATCTTCTGGCAGGGCCCGTGGCTGATTTTCTTCTGGCCTTTCTGTGAGGGGAGGGAAGAATCACACAGCCCAACATTTCTCCAAGTGATCAGTATTTAATGATGACCCAAGGCTATCAAGAAAGTAGATTTATTATTAAATGTTCCTACTTATTTTTAGTCAAGTGCAGTATATTTTACTGTTCCCCACGGATGACTCATAAACCATGTCTTAGCAGGCAAATCGGAGTAGGGGGTGCTGAATAATTCAGTAGGGACTTTAAATCAGTGTAGACACAATGTCTGATTTTTACTCTTTTTTTAAAAACTGTTTTTCTGGACTATCCACTTTCTCTGTACAATAGTTGTATTATCCTTAAAAAATAAGTCATTGTTTATCAGCTGGATTATAAATTGTCCCTATAAAGAATTAGGTACTTAGTGAAAATAAACACTTGATTTAAGAGTCCAAAAGAAAAAAAAAAACAGAGCTTAGAAGTTATTTGTTCTATATTGTAAGTTCCAAGAATGATTTCCTCTATATTAAGTGGTATAAATGCTATGAATTTGATTTTACAAAGACTTTAGATGGCATTGGGTCCTGGGACAGCTAACATAGTATGTGGGCTACTCTTCCATCCCCACACCTGTTAGGACTTGATGGGACCTGGTGTCCCACATGTCACCAGGTTGGTTGATTGTTATCTTTATGTTAGGCTTGCCCTTTTCCCAAAGAGAGAATTCTTGTGTATTTCGTGCTATCCTCTCCTAAAACTAAAAACATCCCACTCTAGCAACATTCAATTGTTGAATACCTTTTATGATGAGGTTTTTTTTTAAATAGAAGTGAAATCGGGTTCCTTTATAATGTCTTCCCATATTTAAAATGGGGACTATCTAGACCCTGGCATCTGGACCTTTCTGGTTTCATCTTGAAAGCCTGCTTTGTTTTGCCATGATTCCAACAGTGGGCTGTACATTAGTTCTAAGTGGTTATTTTTTAGGACTATTACATCCACAGTAGGCATTCAGAATATATTTTAATCCCTTAATGGCAAAAGGTGTATTTTAGATTTCTCTTATTTATGTTACATTCAACTTAGCTTTCTATCAGTGTTAAAATAAGAAATATTTATAGAAAACAAAATGAGATGAATTATCTTCACTCTTAAATTTCTAGCTTCTGAATGACTCTTCGTAAAGAGGAATTTATTAGCCTAGTTAAACCAAAGGCTGTCTTCAAGTTTCATGAAAAGAAAGAAAACAACCCTTGATACCTACTGCCCTGTTTTATTTCAGTTTGGAAGGTAGACTCTTTTTTGGGGGAAATTTACCTAATGTTGGGGTGCTTTCTTGTTTTCTGAATGACTTGAAATTGTTTTTATTAAATATTGATTATGTATAGAATTGATAACATCAGTGTCAGTTATGAAGCTCACCAAACTTTAAGCTGACTTCTCTCTATTTTTCCTTCTACTTTGGAGCCTTACACGCTACCCTTAACTTCTTTCACACCTGGAGATATATATGCTATGCCACTTATTAGCATCTTTTTTCTAGGGCTAAGACCTCTGTTCTAGGGCTGCTGCAATGCTCTTGAGGAGCAAAGATACTTCTTGCTTATTAAACTGTGCAGTTATTTTAAATACTTAAGTGTTATAGAAACTCTTATCTGAGGTACAAAAACAACAATAAGCCGCATAGCACAGGGAGATCAGTTCGGTGCTTTGTGACCACCTAGAGGGGTGGGAAAGGGAGGGCGGGAGGGAGGGAGGGAGACGCAAGAGGGAAGAGATATGGGGATATATGTATACATATAGCTGATTCACTTTGTTACAGCAGAAACTAACACACCATTGGAAAGCAATTATACTCCAATAAAGATGTTAAAAAAATAAAAATATAAAGCCACACACACACAAAAAACAATAAGAATCCAGTTTCACATTTTCTTAGGGTCCATTCATACATCACAAAATTTTTGGCTTGGGCTTCCCAAAGCAGATCTGAGGTGGGATTTTTGCACAAGTGTTTTATTAAGGCAGTGCTCCCAAGAGAACTAGGGAGTCGGGGAAGGTAAGGGAGAAGGAGGGGGCCAAGCAGAGGGGTGGTTCAGGCAATGTCCCTGCCTCAGCCTGACCCCTGGGGGAGCTCTGGAGTGTAATTGCTCCTGAGAATCTGTTCCTTCTGCTCAAGGTAAGGAGCTGGGCTTTCCCATCCCTGCCTCAGCCATTGGCTATGGGCTGGTGGGAGAGGGGCTGTAAACTGGGGAGCACTTGACTCTGCATCTGCAGGTGAAGCAGCTCTAGAAGTTGAAGGCTGTTCCTCTTAAGAAATTTGCTAGTGCCATCTTTAGAAGCAAAACACACAAAAGCTGAGAGGTGGGCACGCAGGACAGTTAAAAGGTACCCAGTGATATCTGAACAAGACACTGGAGTGTCTTCTCTACCTAGACACATGTTCTCTCACTCACTTCCTCACTCACGCAGGCACATTTTTCATCCCTTAGGCCTTTTCCTGGTGCAAGTTTACATACTTTCGGAAGCTGTATAAATTCATTTTCTTCCCTTGAATAGGTCGTAAGTTACTGCTTCAAATATCTAAGTCCTAAAGTGATTGCACCTAGGTAATTTTCAGTGAGTTGAATTGCTACATATATTAGAGTTAAAAAATAAATAAAATCTGAAATTTCAAAGCTTTCCTTATATGAATTTCATCATGGATAATGATTTCAGTGCCCTGAAAAAGAAGCAAGGATACTGTGTGACTGTATGGTTGGCATTTATTCTTGCTAGAAACATTTCCAAGCATAAATATTAACTCTGTTATTTTTCATTCTCACCTCTTTTAACCATCCTTTTAAATTTTATATCCAAACATTTCACCTTTGCCTTAAAAGTATTTTCCTAAAACTTTTGTGGAAATATATGGTGTTTCCTTGGGCACCTTCAACTCAGCATAGCACAAAAGTTTGGTCCAATAGAAAAAGCATGTGAGCAGCATGAATAATTTTAAATTTTCCTATAGCCTCATTTAAAAAGAAAAAATAAAAGAGGTTGTGATAAAAGGCTGTACTGGAGGCTGGGAAGTCCAAGATCACACTTGAAATTAATTTTAATAATATATATTTTAGCCCAGCATATCTTAATTCTTACCATTTCAACATTCAACATTATTAATTATATTTTTACCTTTTTTTTTAAGAATTTTCATCTGTGTATATTTTATATTTACAACAGATCTCAGTTCAGACTAGCCTTATTTCAGGTGCTCAAAACCACCTTTGGCCAATGGCACTGTATTGGACAGTGCAACTTCAGGATGTTATAGAAAAACTCTAGGAAGAGGCTTACTTCCTTTAGATAAGACTTTTTGTCAGCACTTTTGAATCTCCCAGCTTGGTAACCCCATTCAATAAAGAAGTGAGGTGGCATTGTTGTCCAAAGAAAGTGAGCTGATCTGTCCTTGATGAGCCATTGCTGCTTCCATTTGGGACTTAATGCCCTGTAGGCATGAATTATGATTAAAATGATTGGGTTTGGCAGCTAAGATATCACTGATAACCCTGAGGAGTGCAGAATCATAGGGTCACTTTTTGGAAGAAACTGAGTCTTGAATGAAGGGTAGAATGTAGAAAAAATTTGAAAAGGAAAAGAGGGCATCTTAGGCAATGGAAAAAAGTTATATATATATGTATATAATGTGTGTTGCAGGAGAAGGTTCTGGAAGAGTTTGAGTACTTGCATGTAAACTGATGAGGCTGAAGTACTAACTACACAATAAGAAAGGTAGGTAGTGGCTAGTTTGATACCAGGTGTGAAGACTTGGATTGTGCAGTGTATGAAGTGAGGTATCATCATGACCCAGTTTATACGCTGGGGTCTGTTTTAGTTATTTATTGTGGCGTAAGGAATCACTCCAAAATGTAGTGGCTTGAAACAAAAGCAGCCACCTTTTCACCTCTCACATTTTCTGTGGGTCAGGGGTTCCAGAAGGGCTTCGTTGTTCTGTTCCGGCTTGGGGTCCCTCAGGTAGTTGCATTCAAATGGCATCTGAAGCTGAAAGGACAAGAGGCTGGAGCAGCTGGAAGCTGGCTGGGCTCTCTCTCTCCATATAGTCTCAGGATTCTCCATGATGTCTCTCTTCATGGGAAACTGTGGGCTTCTTCACAGCATGGCGGCTTTAGGGCAGCTGGACTGC